ACCTTTGTGATATAAATGATACCGTACAATCAGTCGACCTTATCGCCTGAAGAAGACTAGCAGTAAGCAGTCGAAACGTCGCGATCTACATCCCAAGTGACCACATCGTGAGACAAACGATAATACACTTATTGCATCTAGCACGATGAATAACAACAACCTTTTTCTCGACATTAATGGCGTACAAGACGCAAACATTCGGAATGCCCATGAGGGGCTTTGGCTTCCTTTTGGTTGCATTTCAGTTCTCAGACTCTTGTGGATCACCAGTGCTGCACCTTCTGCTATTCCTACAAGTAAATCGGCAACGGCGAGGTTGATCAGAAGGAAACAAGTTCGTTTAAGATGGAATCGCAGAGTCCAGAAGATAGAAATGGTGAACACGTTCCCAATGATTATGACGGCTATCTCGAGTGCAGAGATAGCGATGAATGTAATGGCGGTTGGGTTTAACATGATGTCGTGTTTGTTGCGTGTATAAAAACTATCGGCGTTTGAATTTTAAGATGACCAATAACTGATCTGCTTGTCTCAACGATATTGAAGGATATGATTATAGTTTCCAAATATAGAGACGCGTTAACCGAAGCTAATACAGTTAAAAGGTTCTTCGTACACCTTGCCGGATTAGCTAAAGTGAAGAATATTCCTTTCATCAATCCAGTTGGCGTAAAACATTTAGTTCAGCATGCAATATTGATGTTGTGAATTTAATTTCAGATATAAATTATGGTAGATCTTTACATGTACATCAGCTACTTGGCAGGCCAAAGAAGACCATAATGACAATTAAAAAATAATAAATCACAGGACACAAAAGTAATTTCCTCTTCCAAATTTAACGTTAGGCTGTCAGAAAGCAGATCTTAACTCGTTAATATAGGCAAGAGGTTTTTCATTTAATTCTGCATGTAGTTAATTAAAATCAGCTTGTTCAGTTAGAAACGAACTTGAGCCATTGAGTGTAAAAGGAGAGAAATATTTTCACAAAGTGTAACGTCACCATTTCGTTTCCTTTAACAAGATATAATTTATTAAACTGCATCGTTTCCGTTGGAAAAGAAGTCTTCCTTTCCATATGCATGCTAAACTGCGTTTAAATGCCCTGTAGAACCTATTGAACTTTTCGTGTTCCTTTACAGTGGATTCTTTTTGTGTTCAAAGCTCTCCCTCGAAGCATGGAGAAAATTTGAAAGAATTTGTTGGAAAATGTAGGAAACTGCAGACTAGTATGAAATGTCAACCATCCCCTCGGGCGGGACTCAGCCCTGATGGGTTTGTCACAAATCTTGACCGTATCAAAAATCCAACGTTTTCTTTGCGCGCTCACACAAGGCCCACGTTACCACCTAGCTGAAGTTTTTTTTTTTTTACAACACTTTTTCAAGACATCTGCTTTGGTAATACCGTTAAAGTTGCGTTTCCTGATTTTCAGGAAAAGAAAGAAAGAGGATTGAATTGACTAAACAGTATTGGTTAAGTTCGAAAGGTGCTTCCTACTTTTAAGTTCTTGTCTTGAACACAGCATTTTTGTTATCGTATCGCTAAAGGCAAACGTGGGAATGACTGAATCAATACAGGAAGAAGATGTACCAGGCAGTGCACGATATTTCATATGGAGGCGTGTACAGTGAAAAACGGTCTAAATGTCCACTCAGTAATAACCAACCACTAATGTAATACTAACCACTAATGTAATAAACATTCAAACAGAAGAGATTTGTTTCATTTAATACACTATTGTTTTCAATACAGTTCATCAAGGTTCCTGTTTGTTTCAAAGGCCCTTGGGAAGCCTGTTGAGTTTTAGTTAACAAATAAAGAAGCCTCGACTGTGCTCTGTTCTGTTGTAAAGCACGCAGGAAGCGGTAGAGCACGAAGGAAGTGTAGGGGAAAACACGAGACGTAGTCGAGTGTTTTTCCCTACTTCTTGAGTGCTCTACCGCTTCCTAAGTGCTTTGCAACAGAGCAGAGCACAGTCGAGGCTTTTTTATTTGTTTTATGATAAAGAATCCAATAATTTCCCGACGCATTCGGGTGAATTTTCAAACCAAACTTTATTTTCCGAACGAGTAAAAGTGGTGTCAGCCGTGCTCTGTTCTCTGATAAAGCACGCTAAAATAAGCCAATCATAGTCCTTGCTAAAACTGTTCAAATAATTTGATTGGCTAACGAAGCGACGGCTGTCAATCACAAACTGGACCTCAGCTAAGCTTTCAGTCTCGAGTAGTCGAGCGGCTTTCGAGAGAAGAACGATGCTTTCAAAGTTCGTTTTTAGTTAATTTTAAAATAAGGATCTAAAGACATGTAAAGGTTTGTAGTCCAGAGGAATCCGGCCGTATTGTGGCTCATGAAAACGTGTACTTTTCCAATGGACATTACGAAACAAGGAGCTCAAAGATTGCGGATGAAAATGCGAAATGCTGAGTTGAGTTAGAAAGGAGATACAGTTATTTGCGGCTTGCAGCCGCTTGCTGCAAGATTGCCTGAACTAGCGCAAAAGTTAGTAAGACTAAACTGCTCCCACTGGCTCTATTCCAAGCACAGAAGAGAATATCAGAGCAAGCTTTGAACTGACTACTCGTCGGTTCACTTCGCTGAGATGACCGGAAAACGAGCGTCACCTGACTACACTGCATGTAAGTGTTGTTTGAGCAGTTGAGCACTGCTACAAATATATGTAAAGCTTCTCATCATAAGCAGAGACAGCTCAATTTCGTAACAAATATGTCGTGTATCCCAGCACTGGTTAGGTTAAAAATTTGTTTCTTTCGCTACGTGTTTTGTCGGCGGTAATCTAGCAAAACTTTTTATTTTAGTATAGTTTTAACACTACTGTTGCTAACCATATTTACTGCAGACAAATATTTCGTTTCCATTGGGTTTGTCTGAGTAACAGGGGATGTTTAATTTTGGTCAAATTTTACAAAATTCCGAAGCAAAAATTTGAAACCCCAGCTTGCGGTCACAACCCGTGCTCTGTTCTCTGATAAAACACACTGTTTCAGCCAATCGGAGCGCGCGTTATATGGAAACTTTATTATAATAAGTAATATCAGCACAGTACTGTATATAACAGGGACGAGTTGTTCAAAGCCCGATTAAGCTAACCTCGAATTAGCGAGAATTTTTATTTCAGTGTAGTATCTTTTCGGTGAGCTTCTCTGTTTATATTGTTTGTCCTTCAGTTTTCAGTTTGAATAATTTCAAACTATCCAACTCATAAGAATTGAAAAACATTGTTATACAAGAAAAATTGTTACTTCGATTAACATACATATAATTTTTGTTGAAGCAGGTCGGTTTGCGGCAACCTAAAGGCTGGTGTGGACCTGCCAGGAACTTTTAATCCTGGGTTAGCGTTAACCGGCTCAACTATTGAGAAGATCAAGGTAAGAGAGTGATTCCTCCATATAGACCTTATACGCAAGATAATTCCTCTTGAGTTATTTTTAGACATTATACCAAGTTCTTTAGCGAATGTTACGTGCGCGTTGCGTGGATGATATCATGGAGCATTCATTTATTTATCGCTTTATTTCGAAGAGAAGAAAAATCTCCAACGCTTTGGGATGCCTTCATTTCGAAGCTTTAGTAGAAATTTAAAAAAATCTATATATCGCATAGTAGGGCAATTATCTGTATACAGTTAACGCCATTATCCAAAACAAAAAAATTATTTGAAATGGAGGTATTTTTAAATTCCGAATGTTTATTGATAACGGGGCAAGTTCCCGTAAGCGGCCATACACACCTAACAACTCTAGTGGCTGTTTACGAGAAGCATTCTCTTATCGGCCAGCTCCAGTTACGAACACCTTTTTAGCGTCCCGAAGGTGTTCGCTTACGAGAACTTCCACTGTATTTCAAAGTACTCATTAATATACATTTCAGGGTCGTTAACCCGTTGTTGTTACTTAACTAAATCTCGATATCTTAGCTTTTTAAAATCCTTTTTAAAATCTGTTATAGGGAGTTCTTTTTGCTCTTTGATAACGAGGGCAATTATTTTGCCATCATTATTTTGATATTGTTGGTTTGCAAGTTAATTTATTTAACCGTATGTTCTAATTTACATTTTGGAGCTAAACGGCACATCATTAGAGCAAAATGGTCGTCAGCAATTGAAAGAGAAAACCTTTCCTTGACTTAATACACTGAACGTTCTCACGTTCGTTGATAGTATTACAGTGCGACTGCTCGAACTGAGCCACCTGCAAAAGAAACTAACCAATAAAAACGTAAACAAAAAACAATGGATTGGTAGCTTTCTCTTGTCGGCAAGAAAAAGGGTCTGTTTTATAGAATACAATTAAGTACTATCGACTCCTCTACGTTATTTGGAGATGGGTTAGCAATTCAGTCGTTGACTGGGAGTTATCGTAATGATAAATCTCGCTAGAAGAATTAAGGTTGAAAACTCATTTTACCACAACTTAATCGAAACCTTTCAAAAGCTTCCAATAATTTGGGATCGAAACTAACCAATCAACAACGAATGGCAAAGTTTCCTGAGAGGTTCGGAACATTTTGCAATTTTTTGGGGGGTTTACAATTTTCCTAAGAACTGTCGTTTGTATTCTTCATTGTTATTAGTTTATTTAACAAACGAGATCGCCATCCTTCAAGCAACGTTCTGATTGGTTAACTCTTTCCAAGTGGCCCAGCTTGGGAAGTCGCAATGTTATGCTTAATTGCCGTTGAGATCTTTCAGGATATTTAACACCGGACATCTATAACAATAATTCTTCTTCTTAAAAATAAAAAAAAAGGTGTTACACCAAAAGAAGTGTCTGAGATAACATGTTAAACGCAACGACCGCCAATGTATTCATCGTCATCTTTGCACTTGAGGCAGCCGTCATCATCATTGGGAATGTGTTCACCATTTTTGTTTTCCAGTCTCAATCTGGACTACACCTGAAAAGAACTTCCCTTCTTCTAATCAACCTGGCCGTCGCTGATTTAGTAGTGGGAATAGGAGAAGTTTTAGTCCTGGTGGTCCACAGAATTCCGAGAACAGGAATCACAACCTTCAGTCTTCCGTGGTCCATTCCAACCATTGAGTCTTGTGTTTCAGTGATGTTCCTCGCTCTTATTTCGCTTGAACCCGTTTACGCCGTGTTCGGGCCACTGCCCATGCTTGCATTTTTAGCATCGTTATCGTCTGGGTAGCTGGTTTGTGCATCGGTGGACTGTTTTTTCTGACTGTATATCACTCAAAAGTGGATACCGTTTATGCCCTTGCCACCTGTGATGTGCTACTCTTCTTCTGTCTGGGTATTATGAGTGCAAGTTACCTATCGATCCGTTCGCGATTGTCCGTTACAACTCCTGAATTACAAGTCTTCCACAGACGTTCAACGCAGAACCAAAATTTACGTCTTTCAAAGACATTTTCCATAGTAGTCGCTGTGTCGCTTATCTTTTGGCTACCTGGTTTACGCCATCAACGCATTCTGCTTGCAGTGTTTTTCTCCGACGTTGCTTTGGTTTGTTAATGCTCTACACTTAGCAAATTCCATGGTGAATCCATTCGTATACAGTTTTCGGATGAAAATATTTAAAGATGCCTTGAAAAATTGCTATAACAAACCTTAGCAAAGTAGTAATTTGAGCGCTCCCCCTCTGAGCAGGCAGCGAAAACGCTGGATGTGTACTATATTGTCGAGATTTGTGACAACCCTATCAGGGCTTAGCAACGAGAAGACGGC